CCTGGCAAGACTGAGAATTGTTGCTAGGGGGAAAATCCATATTTTTTATATACCAGCGGATGCAACTTTGTGGTCTGGTAGATATAGAAATCATTTTTCTCATTTCTTTTTCTCTATGAGATTTATGAGTATGAGACATAAACATGCAAAGTAGAGACAAGTTAATTATTGGAAAAAGTAACATCAACTCTGTGTATATATTCACCACTCAGCATAGGGAAATTTAAATACATTTCAAAACATCTGGTCAGAATGGCTTCAGACACTTTCTTTGGAACCAAATAATGCAATCGTAGGATTTATATTATGAATTTATGGTATGTAGGTATAACTTACTTTGGAAGGACGAGGGAAAAGAGAAAGGACATTTATTTACTTTTAAAAGAGTGCTATTTGTATTTTTTTGTTTGCTACGGGATGTTTTTTCTCTATTTGTGTACTCTGTAAAAATAAAATACATTTTAATTAAAAAAAGATGGAAAAAAAAGCTGACAGTTTTTTGTCAAAAGCACTCCACGCTGCAAAAAACAAAATATACTTTATATTGTGCCCCTGATGACATGGTGTCAGACAGCCCTCTTGAAAGAAAACTTTCAGTTGTCAATGTGCTCCCCACTTAACATTGTGTCACAAAGCTACTCTGAAAAAATCCCGGGCAGAGTAGGGGTAGAGCAAATAGTCACTCTTACTTCCAGTATTTTCATTTTAATATAAACTGTGGGATGAGATGCAAGAAGGGAATTTTCACTGATCATCAATAATATAAACAGGGGCATTTACACTGACCCCTAATGTAAGAGAGGCATTTACACAAACCACCAATATAATGGGGGGTAGTCTACACTGACCTCAAGTGTAATGGGGGGAAGATTCCACATTGACCATCAATATAAAGGGCATTTTATTAGGAGTGACTGTTCTACACTTTAGGCAGTGCTATTTGTTCCATAATCAACTGCTGCACCTTACCTGCTCAGGTACAGTGGATTCTGTACACTGTGCTGCATGTTACATAATCTAGGCCACTGCACTCTACACATCTTACTACAGACCGCTGCGCACTTTACACTGTTTTATATGTTGCATACAGTGAACAACTGCATTGCGTTTTTTGCTTTATATGTGTAAATGACTGCAATCTATACATTTTGTTATACACTACTTTAAACAGCAGCACTTTGTACACTATGCTTTATGTTACAATCCCCACACTGCTGTACACCCATGTCACTAGGAATTTTACTATGAATGTGAAATGTCACCCTGTTCACTAAACAAGCACACTTTTGCTAGTGCTTTATACAAATAAATACAAAATAACAGTAATAATTTAAAAGAGCTTTAAACTACACAGATGGATCTGTTCAGCATGCATTACCTCTTGTCCTAATCCCATCATTGTATGACAGTTTTCCTAAAGCTTTACCATCCAAGGGTATATACAACTAAAAGATTGAGAACAGATGAGGACATTAACCAAAAATTTATTATGTGCCTCACAAAATGGAAGGCAATTAACAGGAGACTCCAACATCAATAAACTATAAAATATGAAATTACAATAATTAGGGCTGATGCCTACAAAATGTCTCTAAAGACACATGAGATTTTCAAAAGGAGGAGTGCACATTATCATCTAATTTTAATCCACTTTCTTCAAGTCTAAACTATTAAACCATTTACCTAACTTGAACTTTGTTTGGTAGGCCCTTGCACTACGTAGTTGCCATAAAAACCAAAGCAACCATTGTAATGTTTGTGGCCCTTTAGGAACAATGTTATTGGTATTACTGGGCAATACAGATAAGTCTTACAGTATGCTATTATTGTAATGTCATGATTTCAATTAGAGATCTGTTCCTAAAAAATGTATGACTGCATAAAAAAAAAAAAAACCACAGGCCTATCCATAGATCTTTATCTAAATAAATCTACTTTGCTACCAGCTAGAACATCAGGTCTACAAGATAATCTGCATACAGATTTCAATGTTAAATTTTGTTAAAAAATAAATTTGGATATCAACTTTGTTTGTTAGTCTTGGAACACCTGATAATATACAGTGCCTCCCAAAACCTTGCCAGATTCTGTGTCACCAAGCCCATGTGTTAGCTAAGTCAAGCACTACAGAAAATGGGAAAGTTTGGGCTCCTGTCAGAGCATATGTGTAAAGGCTTGTAGTTTTTCTATGGCGTTACATTAAGTTGCCATTTTAGATACAGTGTTGTGCGCAGTCCTTTAACGAAATCACAAGCAACCACTGATCACATTACAATCACAACCCCTAATCACATTACAATGAAATATAGGTACACGTCCCCTTGAAAGCACACAAGGATTGTGAGCCAAGTATAAAAAAGTCATTCTTGCCTTGAGCTGAGTCACCGTAGTATTTTGCTTAAAATAAGACCTGTTGTGACGGTTTTCCAAATAATAAAGGAAAAAGCCAGGAACACGCCGTTCAGAGGAAGAAATGTTATGAGATTTGCTAATGCACTATACTTTGACAAAACATTTCAGACTGGACAAACGTTAGAATGATAACATTTTCATACTACAAATTAAACTGGCTTTTAGTATGCAACTTTTTAACAGCATTTCGGCAGAGATGAAACATTGAAGCCAAATCCATATTTATGCTGTATCTGTATTTAATTATTATTTAGTGTTCCAGAGCTTTGGAAAGCTTAAGAAATGGAGGAAGATCGTTAAAGGTGTGTATACCCATATAGAGCATATAATTCGTGATTAGGAACTATAAGCACAGAAAGATGGCATCTGCTACTACTAAGAAAATGTTCACATTAGCATGTTAAGGCTGCCAGGCCATCACTTTGGTCATGGCTTTAATACTGTAGCCAATGGATCATTGACAAAGAACAAGTGCAGAAGCGGAGTTCTATATTTTATAAACGTACCATCTGCCTGCTTGTTCCAGAACAGTGACTTGCTTGGTAGTGAATGTGATAACATAATGACATAATCACACTTTAAAGTGAGTCATCTCTCCTCTTTCTATCCTCATAGGTCTATGGATCATCTAAGAAGGCGTAAATTAATTTAATTTAAGGCTTAGATAGAGCAGGGAAGAATCAGAACCTCTGTCACATGTCCCACTGGGAAGATCTTAACTCACTTCCTGTCAGCTTGCCACAAAGACCTTTACAGGGGCAGGAAATAAGAGGAAGCCTTCTTAGTGGGTACACAGACAGAAAATAGCCTGACAGATGCCGCCGCCCCCACCCTCAAAAAATGTATAGTTAGTGCTGTTTGTGTCACATACTGTACACTGTGCACAAGTTAGCACTTTTATTTACAAAATGTGGAAGCCAGGCATCTCCAGCTCTCTTTCTTTTCAATTTGTGATGTTTAAGTGTAAAAATTGAATAGATAAAAAAATGATCAGAACAACCTCCAGTAGAGGAGGAAGACAGCAGAGACAAAAGAGAGGGAAGGAACAGGAAAAGACATGGGGCAACTGCACATCACACATACCCTGCGTAGGGACAAGGAGGTGAGAGCAACAGAAGGTAAGTGGGAAAAAGAGAACACAAGGGGCAGGGCCAAAAGTGTCCCAATCAGTCATTCACCCCCTACCACGTGTATATATTTGATTTTGTTATTATGGTCAGACCAATAACATTTTAAAACTTTTTTAGCTCGGTAAACATTACATATAACATAGGGATTGCAATTTCTCTTTGAGTAATGGATTTAGTAGATAGATTACACTACCAAACTTACCAGTCACAGAGCATTTTACAACTTATAATGTAAACAATGAGAATGCCATTCCAGCTACATAAGCCACTGAAAACTGAGACTCTGCTTTGTCATTTGATGGTTAGTGTATTCTATTGCCAGGTTCATAAACTTCTCAAGTGATATTTTTCAGCTCCTTTGTTGCTTTTGTTTGCACTCACATTGTTGAATTGTACGTGGAAAGAAAGGAACTGCAAAATTAAAATTAAAATTCAGAGATTGCTTTCCAAACCCTCCCCAACTGCTTCACAAACTCACATCAGAAGCAAGACCTTATAAGAAAAAAAAAAAAAAAAAAAAAAAA